TAATAATGCTTTGGCCCCAAAGAAGAAGGCTCTCATATGAGAAAGAGAGAGGATCACGAGTGATTTTCTTTCCAATTTTGTTAACATAGGCATTAAAATGGAGGAAGAAAACTGTGCACACTGGACAGAGAGAAGGCATGGTTTTTCTTCATAATTGCTGCCTATTATGCCTATGAAAAAGATTTTCAACGATTTGTCGATGCCTAAATTACTAATCCTAAGCATAGAGGTGCCTGTCTCATGTATGTCACATTCGTAATCACATGTCAAGAATCAAAGTGTATATCTTGTGTGCATATAGTTCTACATTTATGCATTATAACTACATCATAATGAAAAGCAGTTGAAACTCAAAATGTTATATGTGGAAATTTCCTAGAGTGGATGTTTGTTTTTGACGAAAATTAAAGCTCGACTAAACTAGGTATCATGCCGTATGGAACTACTATGGCTAGCTCATACGAAAACTTTGGATAGAAGATAATATTTTGTTCATTATCACATCACAGAAACAAAGTCCATATGCAAGTATTTTTGTGTCATACTAGCCACTTGGAATGTTCAAGTGTAACTAACTCATATTTAATTATAGTTTGCTTTAGGGCAGGTAAAAAAATTTAGTAGCAGTGATATGGTCCAATAAAATTCTGTTGGACTTTTTCGTTGAGATTTTATTATTTGACACAAATGAAATCAAATTTCTAGGTCACAATAACATTACTCAAATCTCAAAACTTTCGAAAAAACATGCAAAATACGATCAGTAAAATACTCGAAACGAAGAATTTAATCTATTGAAGAAATAACAGCCACAACAGAAGAGTAGACTTCCAATTTAATAAATGGAACAGACCCAAATAATTAAGTAAATAAATCATGACTCACTATAGTTAGAGAGCGAGAGCGAAAGAGAGAGAGAGAGAATAATTAATTTGGAAGGAAATATACATTCAGAGCCGACCAAAAGGAAAAACCCAAAAGCCAACTCCAAAAAACGCTGTCTGGATCAATATATACACCGAAGACACTAAGGTAAAGCCAATATCCTTATTGACTACTCTCTCTCTCTCTCTGTGCTAACCCTAATTTCCAATCACCCATTAGCTTCCACTAGGAAATTCCTCGCTCTTGTTGGTCCATACTAGAAATTCCTCGAAACAAGAGTATACCCTTGAACATGAATGCTGAAAATCATCGAAATCTTGAAACCTCAACTGAAGAAAACGAACTTCCAGAGAAATTCAACGATGACACCACCGGTATCGGCCGATCCTACGAGTGCACTTTTTGCAAGAGAGGCTTCACAAACGCTCAGGCCTTGGGAGGGCACATGAACATACACAGAAAAGATAAAGCCAAGGCCACCAAGCAGCATACCCAAAAGTCTTCGACTTCGTTTTCGAACAAATTCACTGAAGATCACATGACTTCAAGTTTTATCTCACCAATTTTAAGCAATCAGGGAAGATACTATGAAGTTTTGGGGACGCAAATGATGTATTTTCCAGCATCAGATTCTAGCTACAATTTGCTTGTTCCAAGGTCGGAGCAACTGAGCGTGCATGAAGAGAGTCCAAGTCCGAACTTGAGTCTGCAGGTTGGTTCCCCCAATATGGGGGAGAGAAAATGGAAGAAGAGAGATGGGGGAGAAGAAAAGATGGAAAATGAAGTGGATTTGGAACTTCGTCTCGGTCATGACCCATAATTCATGGTCATGGTAATGGCCATGGTCATATACATATATATATTANGGTACAATTTATATTTGTAACTGGAAAATTTTTTTTTCTATAAAACTGCCATTTAGCAAACCACCAAATTGTTGTTGGTAAGGTTTAATTTGATGTGTTTAGTTACCCAGTGGCCCACTAATTGAATAAATAACAGGGTGTGAGATGTGGATTTCCTTTTAAACAATAGCGCTGATTGAGGGTTTGTGACACAGACTATTAATTAGTTATATATATAGTGTAAAATATTCTTTAATAGGACCCCTACGGATAATCCAATGATCATAATACACTTTAATTATAAATAAAATCTTAATAGCATTACTCGTTTTTTTATTAATAAAGCACACTTAACTGAAAAGTAATCATCTATGTCACATTGACTAATATATCTTTGAATTTATACACAAAAAAAATAATATGGCGCTGACGATATAAGCACCACCAACCATGCACCCGACACCAGCACCAGCAACACTCACCACAATCCCTCAGCATTGCCACCACACTCCACAAACACCAATCCTTGTGGTCTCTGATGTCGTGGATAGTTTTACTTGAACTCCGCAGCAGCCCTACTTCCATTTGTCCACAACCCTTTTAACTTAGTATTCTTAAAAAAAGGGTCCAGTACACGAGACTCTTGCCACTGCAGATCCTAGAGAAAAGTTTAAAAAAAACAAGAGAGTGGCATATATATATATATATATATATATATAGTATGGCAACTTCAACGTTTTGTTTATAAAACCTTAAAGCCATAATGACTTTAGAATTTCACATAGACTGTGGTTTGGGTGGATTAATTGTAGATGGTAAATCGCCTGAATACTTGATAGGTAGCCCAAGAAGCTAAGTCGAAATCTATGTGATACCTTGATACTGTCAGCAAAGAATCAATTGGAATATGCATATTCTATATCTAGAATAATATCAATATTTTTGGTGAGTAAAAACACTTTATTTTCTACAAAAACAAAGATATTACAACAAAACTCAAAACACATCCCGATTCTAGAATGACACACAACAAATCCTATATATATCATAGAAGAGCTCTTTACTAGGTTTAACATTCCTAGGCATGACCTACGTACAAATTTAACATGGAATCGACTTAGAATAACAAGTTTGGGTTAGTCAAGTGAAAAATGGATGGAACTGTTAGACCAATTAAATAAATGGATCAACATGAATACTCTCACTACAAAATTACTCTAATACTACTTTCTTGGAATTAGGCTAATGACTATGAAACCATGTTGTTAGAATCAAGAGGGCTAGAAACATAATTGAAGTACATTCAAACAAAAATGACTAAAGTATTTATACTTCAACTCGCTCCCTCACATGCAGGTTAGATTTTGAACCTAACACGTGGAAACTCTTAATAATTAGGGTGACGGCGAAATTTGAACACAAGACTTCTTGCACTAATATCATATTAAACAATCATTTACTTCAAAAACTTAAGCTATTAGAGATGGTGTAACTTAAATATTTATACTTGAACAACGGTAAACATAACCCCTAATCTTAAATTAACATGTCACTACTTCCATCAACTCATGTAACACTTACAAATTTAAGGTACCACTTTCTCTACTACACGGAGAAGTAACACTAATATCTCACTAACACAAAGTGCTTATCCACAAACATACTACATTAATAGATCACTAGCACACATTTTCTCCCACTAACACACCATATTAAAACCACTTAATGGTGAAATATATCTCATGAAACAAGTTTCTTTCTAACAAACTCAACTAAACACTCCATGAACCAGCTAAACATTCTTGATACACGACATAAATTTAACATGACATGAATTCAATCATACATTATTTCAATGAGTTAGATATGAGTTGAGATAATTTTAACACAACACTACTTAGACCTGACAGGATACGTAAAAGAATAACACATCAATTTTGCTAATGCTCGTACATAAAAGAATCTTAATTGAGATGCAGTCAATAGAACCTGGTTCTAGATAACATGGATTCGGCAGGATCGAAGATTAAACCACAAAATGTTAACTCCTGCTGTGCATGAACTGGAAATGAAAGCAGATAGCACTGGCAGCAGTGATGTTATTGTCATTGACACCCTACTTCCATTTGTCCACAGCACTTCTAATCTTGTATTCCTAACAGGGTTTTAAAAAACTAGAGAAAAATGGCCGTCTCATTGCATTTTTGTTAGAATTGTAATGTAATTTTAATCTTGTAATATAATAACCTTCTTTATAAAACCTGGAAGATATAATGACTCAGAATTTTTATTTTCGACCAATGGGTTGGCAAGTTGACCAAAAAAACCGTTTACAAAGTTAGAGGTCTTGAATTATAGTTTTTTCTTTCGATCACCTTCAAGGGACACCTTTTGTTTGGGTGGATTAATTGCAGGTTCTAAATCGCTAGGATAATAGTTAGCTAAACAAAGAAGGTCAATGATATGGTAAAATTAATCTTGATTGTAACTAGGAATTCTCAAAATCTGAGGTCAAATTGAACTTTCAAATATTTTTTTCCCCCAGTCTAGTAACTGCAAGCTCAATTTCTTAGTCGAAATCGATGTAACACCTAGATACGTGACCTACGAATCAATTGAAATATGTGTATTCTATAACAATATTCTGGAGAGATACTCAAAGACTCAACATACCTAGTCTACAAATATATATATTCTCACAACCCGAGTGACAAGGTAATCAATTCTCTTCAACCTTTCAAAAGATTAGCGATATCACATTCCTTTCGATAAGAAGTACTAAAACAAATTAAGAATAAGGCTTCAAGACTCACTCACAACCGGAGGGATTAGGCACAATCACTAAAGCCAACTATAAGGAGGCAAAATAACATCAATATTACTACTTCTCATACCAAAATAAAAAAATAACCCTACTGCAGCTGTAGTCAATTGATCCTGGTCTGGCTAACATGGATCGATAGGATTGAAGATTAAAAAACTACAAAATGTTAATTCCTGCTGTGTATGAACTGGTTTTGGATGCAGTAGCGGCACGGGCAGCAGTGGTGTTATTGTCATTGACGCCCTACTGCCATATGTCCACAACATTTTTATTATCGTATTCTTAATAATGTTTGAAAAATACTAGATAAAAGTGGCCAGTCATCTAGCACTAACATCATTGTAAGACATGGTCCAAGGGTATAATCTCAACTGTTCCAATGCGTTATTTTGGCCGTCTCTCTTCAATTCAATCCAAACCAGTTGTGAATTGTTACACTACAAGACATGGGTATCTTATGGAGTTCACATTTTAATGACCAATGTGTTACATCTTCTCATTCTTTTTATACCTGTCTCTCTCTCCTCTCTCTCTGTGAACATATACTGTGAAGTACAGCCAGTTGTTTAGGTGGATCATAGCTTGCAGTAATTAAATGAGAGAGAGAGATTGTATCAAGGGGCATAGGACATTAGGGTCTTAAATGATCAAGTTAATAATGCTTTGGCCCCAAAGAAGAAGGCTCTCATATGAGAAAGAGAGAGGATCACGAGTGATTTTCTTTCCAATTTTGTTAACATAGGCATTAAAATGGAGGAAGAAAACTGTGCACACTGGACAGAGAGAAGGCATGGTTTTTCTTCATAATTGCTGCCTATTATGCCTATGAAAAAGATTTTCAACGATTTGTCGATGCCTAAATTACTAATCCTAAGCATAGAGGTGCCTGTCTCATGTATGTCACATTCGTAATCACATGTCAAGAATCAAAGTGTATATCTTGTGTGCATATAGTTCTACATTTATGCATTATAACTACATCATAATGAAAAGCAGTTGAAACTCAAAATGTTATATGTGGAAATTTCCTAGAGTGGATGTTTGTTTTTGACGAAAATTAAAGCTCGACTAAACTAGGTATCATGCCGTATGGAACTACTATGGCTAGCTCATACGAAAACTTTGGATAGAAGATAATATTTTGTTCATTATCACATCACAGAAACAAAGTCCATATGCAAGTATTTTTGTGTCATACTAGCCACTTGGAATGTTCAAGTGTAACTAACTCATATTAATTATAGTTTGCTTTAGGGCAGGTAAAAAATTTTAGTAGCAGTGATATGGTCCGATAAAATTCCGTTGGACTTTTTTGTTGAGATTTTATTATTTGACACAAATGAAATCAAATTTCTAGATCACAATAACATTACTCAAATCTCAAAACTTTTAAAAAAACATGCAAAATACGATCAGTAAAATACTCGAAACGAAGAATTTAATCTATTGAAGAAATAACAGCCACAACAGAAGAGTAGACTTCCAATTTAATAAATGGAACAGACCCAAATAATTAAGTAAATAAATCATGACTCACTATAGTTAGAGAGCGAGAGCGAAAGAGAGAGAGAGAGAATAATTAATTTGGAAGGAAATATACATTCAGAGCCGACCAAAAGGAAAAACCCAAAAGCCAACTCCAAAAAACGCTGTCTGGATCAATATATACACCGAAGACACTAAGGTAAAGCCAATATCCTTATTGACTACTCTCTCTCTCTCTCTGTGCTAACCCTAATTTCCAATCACCCATTAGCTTCCACTAGGAAATTCCTCGCTCTTGTTGGTCCATACTAGAAATTCCTCGAAACAAGAGTATACCCTTGAACATGAATGCTGAAAATCATCGAAATCTTGAAACCTCAACTGAAGAAAACGAACTTCCAGAGAAATTCAACGATGACACCACCGGTATCGGCCGATCCTACGAGTGCACTTTTTGCAAGAGAGGCTTCACAAACGCTCAGGCCTTGGGAGGGCACATGAACATACACAGAAAAGATAAAGCCAAGGCCACCAAGCAGCATACCCAAAAGTCTTCGACTTCGTTTTCGAACAAATTCACTGAAGATCACATGACTTCAAGTTTTATCTCACCAATTTTAAGCAATCAGGGAAGATACTATGAAGTTTTGGGGACGCAAATGATGTATTTTCCAGCATCAGATTCTAGCTACAATTTGCTTGTTCCAAGGTCGGAGCAACTGAGCGTGCATGAAGAGAGTCCAAGTCCGAACTTGAGTCTGCAGGTTGGTTCCCCCAATATGGGGGAGAGAAAATGGAAGAAGAGAGATGGGGGAGAAGAAAAGATGGAAAATGAAGTGGATTTGGAACTTCGTCTCGGTCATGACCCATAATTCATGGTCATGGTAATGGCCATGGTCATATACATATATATATTATAATCAAGAAGATATAGTGTACAGACTACAGAGAGCGAGTTCATTCCACTTTGAAAGCATGGACAGATAACATAATAGTAGGACTAATTGACTTCATTCCTTTCTTGTACCAGTGACAGGAATGAAGTCAGTTAGTCCTCAGTTTATCTTTTATCATTGAAGTTTTTTTTCTTTGAATTGAAGCTACATGTGTGCGATTATGAATGATTTATATGTTGATCTCTGGAAAAATATAAGATTATCGATTGGCTTTCGATTTTCATGTGATGTGTCCCTTAATATCATTACGTCGCTGCATTCGGTTTAGTTCTCTTTCATGAACAAGAATTGTTTTCATATTGAATATTAAATGTTATGATCTCAGTAGTCATCAGGAAGAGAAAGAAATCGAGGCTCTTCAACAATCACTTCAAGGAGACCAACCCCTTCCAACAATCAATTACCATATGGTTTGTAAATGTTGGTTTAAGTTTTATAAACTAGAATCTCCATAGTATAAGGTTACTCATGGTTCTTTTTGCTTCGCGTCTCGCCCTCATTCAATTATCTTTTGAAAAATCTTCATTGGGTACTTATCTACTACTGAGCAACCTTTGCAAACTTGTGGTTATACATGAAACTGTAAGCATTTTTCATGTGAAGCTGCAGTGGTATTTCTTGTTCATCATGTTAACTGTATACCAATTTTGTTATCTATGAAAACTTTTACCTTCCTGAAAATAAAAATTAACACAAAGCACTATATTTCTATGTGGATGTCCGAATTACAGAACATTTTCCTTCTTGCAGTCCTTAAATAACAAGAGTGATTGGGTTGTTTTCTTGTAGAAAACTAATTCTGCAAAATGTATGATGTTGGATGTATCTCATTTCTCTATAAACATAGCCTCCAAGACTACAGTGTCATGCAACTATGTTATTATATTGTCAATATCATATTCATTGCAAAGCTTGATGCACATGACTAGCTAGCCTTCTATATATATGCATCTAATCCCTTAGAAGGTCGAACTCTCTCTCTCTCTCTCTCTCTCTCTCTCTCTCTCTCACTGCAACAAAAGTATGGTTGTGGCAGTAATTGACATACCCTAGCTGCATACGAAAGTAGACTTACATCGATGAAAACANACAAAAGTATGGTTGAGGCAGTAATTGACATACCCTAGCTGCATACGAAAGTAGACTTACATCGATGAAAACATATTAAGAGATAGTCAATTTCGTCTGTGCAGCCTTGAAGTGTCACTTTATGTATGACAGTTGCATTGAAATGGCCCCAAAGAGAGTATTTTTGCAAGAAATCAACTGGAACTTTTTTTTTTACTAATTAGATATACCGATGACTTTGCTGCATCTTTGGAGTTATGGTGCTTGTGACATGAGACTCGAGAATTTAAATGTTTGTTTGTGCAATGCTTTATAGGATTTAACGAGGTGTCAAGCTGTACTCATAGTAAGAAGTGCTTAATTTGTTGTGGAGGATAGGGATTATCGGGATAAAGCTAAGTGTTTTCCAACAAAAAAATAAGTTATTTATTTACCTGTTTTTGGATTGAGTTGTATTTCTAATACTATAAGAATTCCTGAACTTCGGATCCCTCCAATACTTTTTTTTTTTTTTGGAATGTAGATCCCCCCGATGCTTTTTTTTCTTTGTTCCCTCTTCCGTAGATAACCCGCCNACTGTCTTTGGATTGAGTTGTATTTCTAATACTATTAGAATTCCTGAACTTCGGATCCCTCCAATTCTTTTTTTTTTTTTTTTGGAATGTAGATCCCCCCGATGCTTTTTTTTCTTTGTTCCCTCTTCCGTAGATAACCCGCCATATACCCATTTATAGGTGATGGTGCCAAAAATAGCACCGATAGATTGCTCGATGACTTGGCAATTTTCGACGGACGCCTAAAAATAAGTTGAAGATTGGAGCAGCTCCAGGGTCGACCCTTTAATGATTAAGTTAGTAAAGGCAAAAATGATTGACTAGAATTGAGCTGAAATTTACTTACGTGGCTCTTAACTTGCCCCTTTCCTTTATAGATTTTCAACCTCCTTTACCGTTAGAACTCCTTTACCTATTTTNTTGGTGCCAAAAATAGCACCGATAGATTGCTCGATGACTTGACAATTTTCGACGGACTCCTAAAAATAAGTTGAAGATTGGAGGAGCTTCAGGGTCGACCCTCTAATGATTAAATTAGTAAAGGCAAAAATTACGTGGCTCTTAACTTGCCCTTTCCTTTATAGATTTTCAACCTCCTTTACCGTTAGAACTCCTTTACCTATTTTTCAAATGAGGTGCCCTAGAAAATAAAACTTCCGTTCAGCATTTGGAATTTGTTTGAGCTGTTATCCTGGGATTGGATGAGCGAATTAGTAATGCAGTTATGATTTATCGGGTGAGATGTATTTCATCAAATTGTACACCCCCATGGCCCTTGCACCTCCTCACCTGCCTTGGGCGTGCATGTGTTTTTCTTTTAAAGCCAAATTCATATTCATCAATAAGCAATGAGATTCACTTGAATTCACAGTAAGTGATTTACTAGTAAGATGATTGGAAAAAACCTTTTATTGGAGCATCAATATTCCCTCCCTTACAGCTACCAAAGAGAGATCTCCTCAAGATTTCTTAATTTTTTCTCATCGTCTTTCAGTGATTTCTTCTTTGGCTGGTTTGCCAATTATAAGTTGAAACTTCTACTTATCACTGATTTTTTTTTTTACACATCTTAGAGACACGATCGAAAAGAAAATGGGAAATCCTTGTCAACATCACACTGGAAACAGCTGATCAAACAAGGTAACTGTGACATAGTATGAATGTCAGCCACATCACTCTCTAGCTTTCTTTTTGGGTAGAGCTCTAGCAGTTCTCTTGTTCATTATATCCTTCAGTCCGATTTTGTGGCTGAGATGCATGGGAGATCCAAATTTACTCTTACTTTTCATTCTACTGGCTCCAATATGAAGCTTTGAGGAAGAAGAAAAAATAAGGAAAAAATGGTATTTATTGCTCATCACTTTTATTATTAATGTAATTTATCATTGTTAGTCACGCCTAATAGCGAAGTTTGTTCCCATTATATATGTTTTTTTTACTGTTGATATATCACTCGTGAGAATTTCACATCTAAAGTAAAAAGAAGTAAAAGGGCTTTAATATATTACAAAATAAACGCACGACCTATAAAAATAAATTTTTAAGCGGGTTTGAGTTTGGACTCTCAACCTTCCAACGTTTATGATATGTGTATGCAATGTATACTGTATTGGTTTATCTGATAGGTAGATAACGCTTGACAAATATACCTACTTGCTTAGTATCTGTACAGAAAATGATGTTTTGCTTGTATGTGTAAGAAGACAAAATCTACAGACAAAGACATCACCGTTTAATTACGATTTATTGGCTCCATATGCCTTGGCAGAAACGAATAAAACCGAACTAGGACATGTACTGATGTTTCTAAATGATACATACCTCTACCTCTATGAGATATGATGATACAATCCGAATAAAAGCATTGATTTTTGGAACATTTTAGAATCAATTTCTACAGTGAACTTTTATATATATTATGACAGCAGCGTTATTGGATTAACTGAATTACTGAAGATCGATCGATTCTAACTTTTTTGTATCATTTTCAGCATTTGAGACATATATGAATTTTAAATCTTCCAACAAGTTTCATTTTTCTCTTGGAGTTTTTCTCCGGAAAATGACGGCAATGATTATCAAAGTTCTTGAGCATTCACTATCAGTGTTCACCTGATGATTCAGAGCAACTGGTTCCTCAACTTTCACAACTGTGTATCAAAAGAGTAGCTTACAGCTACAAACAAAATTAAGCTAAACAAGTTGTTTAATTTTAAGAAATGGGAGACTCGTGCACTGAGTCGCCTTTTAAAGTAGCTAGTAAAAGAAAGCCATTCTCTCTCCTGTATTACTCAAGAGGGACAGTCATTGATAGGCATAGTTTTTGTACTTGGTACTGGAGGTGTGTCTCTAACTCGTTCCCATGTAGACACAGTGGAGAATTTAACCATTTGCAGCAAGAGACCATCTGTTCATAGNGGTGTCTCTAACTTGTTTCCATGTAGACACAGTGGAGAATTTAACCATTTGCAGCAAGAGACCATCTGTTCATAGACCTGATAATTTTACACCTGAACCGTGACACGAAATTAGTGAGTTTCGCAGTTTTGAATGGTAAATGAATGAATCACAGCAGAGTCTCGCCTGTGTAAGACTATAAAGGGTTTAGACATAGGCTGAAAAATTTTGAAATGACACGACAGGGAGACTTACCCTAAGTTTATTAAGCATATGGTTAGGCATCGAGTGTGTAAGTTCCAGTATTTCAACAGATATTGCTCTAGGGCCAATGCCACTAATTATTAGAAATATGCCAACCACTATTCTCTCCATTACCATTTGCGAATGATCACTGGGAAATTTTACATAGAGTAATATTACTTTTTCCTACATACCGGCATAATTTGTTAATTTAATACTATCATTAATTTAATTGAGTCCTAAAATTTGCTTAGAACTTACCACTGATTGAATGATTATGATTTATTGATTAGGTTAGGTCAATATTTTAAGTTACAAATAATATATATATATATATATAATAAAATAGAAGTGTGTTTGAATTTTATCCCAGTCATATTTTCTCCCTAAAAATATTATATCACTCATTTATATCATATATTTAATTATTTAATATTTAGTTAATTCGTAGTTAATACATTTTAAAAAAATTTAATATAGTTTGATCAATTTTTTAGACGCTTAAATTTTATATTTTATCGTGCCTTTAGACACGGGTTATGACTAATATATATATATATATATATATATATATATATTGCATAATGCAAGTCATCCTCCTACTCTAAAGGTATGCTTGGTAAGCGGGTTTGGATAAAATTTAAAAGGTGGGTT